AGGAGGATGTACTTGGTGGCGGGGGGCAGGGGGCTGGCCGGCTGCGGGCACCTCCTGGTCTCGCTGCTGGGGCTGCTGCTGCTGCTGGCGCGCTCCGGCACCCGGGCACTGGTGTGCCTGCCCTGCGACGAGTCCAAGTGCGAGGAGCCCAAGAGCTGCCCCGGGAGCATCGTGCAGGGCGTCTGCGGCTGCTGCTACATGTGCGCCCGCCAGAGGAACGAGAGCTGCGGCGGCGCCTACGGGCTCCACGGAGCCTGCGACCGGGGGCTGCGCTGTGTCATCCGCCCCCCGCTCAATGGCGACTCCATCACCGAGTACGAAGTGGGCGTCTGCGAAGGTACGGCTGCCCGCCGCGGGCCTCCTCCCACCTGGCCCGCGCCGCCCCCTCGGCGCTCGCCGCGCCGAACAAAGTTTGGCCGCGACTTTGTGAGGAGAGAGGGCTGTGCGGGAGGAGGGGCGGCCGCCGCCCCCGGAGAGCGCCCTCCGGGGCTCGCTTCCCGCTCGCTGCTCCCCCTGACGCTTGGCTGGCTGCGGGCAAGCTTGGGTTTGGTGGGTGGGGGCGGGCGAAGCGGAGGCTCTTGCCCGGCCCCGCAGAGACTGGCACATGCGGTGCCGTTCCTACTGTGGGTGGGTGGCCCGGCCTTGCGGCCCCAGGCAGGGGGCGCAAAGGCGGGGGGCACTGCGGAGCTGCCAGAGGGCCCCTGGGGGCGTCCAGCCGCGGCCGTCCTCCCGCACTGGCGCAGTGAGGAACCGTATACTACACACTGTCCACGAAAGTCCATTTTCAGTTGCCCTGTCGCCAGCTCACACTCCCTGTGCGCCTCTTATTTTTTCCATGCGCTCTTCCTTCACCCTTTTCCTCCTCTTTCGCATATAAATCAGTTTCAGCTCCGGAATATGTTAGCCCAGGGGAAGTGAACATAGGATGGTTACTCATTTATTTGCCTATTGAAAACGGTCAAAGGGTTTCTCTTCTGAAGGGAGAATTGGGGGGGGGGGGGGGGGAGGGAGCGTGTAGAGAATTGCACCTAGGAGGGAAAAGTTGTTTCTTTTAGTGGATGCTGCGTGTTTCCAGTCGTCTTGCTGGTTCGTTCTTTTTGTTTGACAGCGAAGATCGTTGTGCTGGTTTCTCCACTACGCATTGTGCATCACGGTGTGGAGACTGACGGAGAGCGAAAGATAGTAGATTACTATAGTCAGCCTTCTTGGAAAAACGGCTTCTGTGGGTGCCTCCTCAGTTTAAACGTCTAGAAAGAGGGAGAGAAGTGTATTTATGCTTGGATTTGTTTTTAGTGTGGCACATGGAGAAATGGGATCCCCCTCTGGCTGACGGCAGTGATGCTGTTCTGGGCATCCTGAATGAGCAGAGGACCGCAGCCCTGCTGACGGGGAGCGGCGCCCTCTGCCCGGAGTCCCTTACTATTCACAATGAGCGCCATAGGAGGCCAGGGAAAGGTTTATTTTGAAGCATCTCTGTGTGTATGTGTGCTTATTTTGTGGGTATTTGTTTAGTGTACTGGGTTCATGGAAAAGGGAGTGGTAACTTTAAGGATAAAAAATGAGTGTTGAAAGGCTTCAGTTCAGTGATTTGCTTTACATGCACACACATTTAGTTACACCTGCAGGTTTCTGCGTTTATATGGTTCCGGAAAACCCAGGAGGCCTTTCCCATCTGGAAGCTAGTGGGCAGTAATGAGGGAAAGGACCTTCCTCAGATGGAAGGGGGTGGGGGGGTGCATTGCGCTGCACACTTAAGCTAGTAGGTTTTGAAGAATTCATTTTCCTGCAATACACACCCCCCTCTCACCTGGTGTTCAGTCTCATTTTATTCTTAGTGTTTGGAAAATCGTCGATCAGATTAACTTCTGATAACATTTTTTATGGTTGACTTTGGGAATTTGGAATGACTTAAACTAAAGGAATGGTTTTTTTAACTTGTTCACTTGGAATGTATTAACATACTAACCTAGCCTCCTGTAGATCTAAAAAAGAACAAGCAATAGGGGAAAATGGTTACTTGCAAGGGGAACTGTTATATTCTGAGAAGGACCTTAAGAAGGTTCTGATTCTAACCTGCTCTTGTTTTGTTACTTATCACGTTTCTCAGGAAGGAAGTGTGGAGCTAAGGGAACATTTACAGTAATCAAATGTTCTGGCAGCATTTTCTCAGGTCGAAGTATAGAGTTATTTTGGCAGTTGGTGAGCCTTTCCTTCTTCTGAAGTGATGTGATCTCACATAGCTTCATTTCTTTTGGTAACATCCTGTGCACTTGATATTAGCCTTAAAAAATGCTTGGAAAGGATGTTGACATGATTATATATCAATTACTGTTGTCTGGCAAAACTTTTAATTTAGCAGGCCTGTTTTCATCTACCAAAATTTCACATTTAAGGGCATTGGTTTAAAATTCTAAAAGTGGCACTCAAGTTGTATTGTAAACCATGAAAACTGAAAGACAGTGTTACCTGGCATGCATGATAGAATGACTGGCTTTAGAGATACTGTTAGCCACTTGTGTAAAACGTCAAACCTTTTAACTTCAAAATTTATGGGGAGGAAGAGAAGAGTAACTTTATCTTTTTAAGAACTAGGGGGCGTTGAAGACCTAGACTCTAGGGAGTTGTGCTGCTAACCCAAGGACCTCTCCTCACTAGAGGTTAGACTCCATCAGCAGTTCTGAGGAACAACGATGAGCACACTCCTCTTACTCATTTTAGAGTCCGAGAAACATACTGGAGGGTCAGCTCTGAGTTCTTCCAACTAGAGGGCAATAAAGTGTTGTGCTTTTGTGTATAGGATTTTTTTAACGTTACCTGTCAGTATTTGCCAAGAAAGTGTTGAGTTTATCCTGTTTTTCTGTTACTTTGCATAACATTGTCTTGGCAGGACACCAGCAGTCTTCTAACTTCATTGTCAACATCACCCAAGGCTAATCCCTAGGTGGAATTCAAACTTATCTCCACCCTACACTCTTTTTCCCAAAGTTTGCTAGATTCAGTAATTTGTTGCCAGTGGCTACACAGAACTCACTAGACCATATTCACTATTATGGAGTTTATTAGGGAAAGCTACAGTTTACAGATCAGGATCAGGAATAACTCAGGATACAGGTCTTTATTTAGGACACTTTCTCAGATGTGCCACAGGTAAGTCTGTCTGCGCTGGGCCCCTCTGTTCAGTAATTTTACTCTTCCTGGGTAAGTTTTACAGAGCTCTTTTGGTGCTTGTTGAGTACTCCACCTATAAATCTTAGTCCTGAGGTGCTCAGCTATCTATTCGGCTCAAGTACCTAGAGGCAGGCCAGTCCTCCAACAGATTTCCTGCCTGAGGGTGCTCTGTTCTTTCTCATGGTGGAAGCCGATCATGCTGTCTCCTTATTTTCTGATTCTGCTGCTGCTGCCTGGTGAGGTTTTTTAGCTACATCTTGCTTTCTTGGACTTACTCTGGTGTTGCAGCATCCTGTGTCCCGAATCTGGGAGGTTCTTAACACAGGGTCCCCAGGTCCAAAGAACATACTCTGCTCTCATCTCTTTTTTGGTATGTTAGTGAGATCCTCATATTTACCTCTCGAATGGCTCGTTTAAAACCTAGTTGAATGGCAAAACTGACCAATCCTCTTGTAGCATTTCATATACCTTATTTGCATAGTCTCACCATGAGGATACCATGTACCTTATCTGAATTATTAACAGTCAATCCAATCCCCTTAGAGACTTAGATGCACCTAATTTACGTAGTACCACCTGGCCATTTGGTGAAAATTTAAAAGACTGTGGCAAGAAAGGTCCTATAAAAGCATTCAATGTTGCACCACACTTTAGAATAAATTTCTCCCTCAGTACAAGTTTTCTTAAGAAATTCCTATGCTGAAACATAATTATCGTAACTAACATGCATAAGAATTGATAGTATTTATCCACATAAAAGGAGCCCTAGTAGCCCAGGAATTGAAGGCTTTGGCTGCGAAGTGAAAGATCAGCAGATCCAACTCACCAGCCACTTTGCAGGAGAAAGATGCAGCAGGCTTCTCTAAATGTTCCAGCATTTGAAACCCCGTGGGACATTCTGTTCTGTTCTATAGGATTCAAGTTGATGGTAGTGTTTTTTATTTTTCTTGTGAAGTCTTTTTTTTTTGCTACAATTTTTGCACTAAAATGACCCCTACTGGTTATATCTGTTAATGAAAGCTCTTTTGAAGATTTCTTATTTAACAGGCTATGCAGAAGAGAATATATAGTGTAATGCATGACTAATCTGACATTTATTTGATGATGTAACCTAAATATAAATCCATTTTTTTGTTTGCACACTAACAGTAGTTTTGTATTTCTCAAACTGGCCTTATGAGGGGTAAGAATGCTTTAAATACAACTCACAAAGTGAATCGATAAATGGAGTGAGCATGGGGCCCTTACAGCTTGTGACTCGTGTTTTTGATCCTTAAAAATATTGGCACATATGTAGTAGAATCTTCGTAAATATGCATGGACTAAATTAATGAAAAGGACTATCTGTGCCATAGAAAAGATACTGAAAGAAAAATATTTTCTGAAAGTAAATAATGTGATATGTCCTGTGAACCATGTAAGTTGTACACTTCATTTTTTTTAATCATAGTTTAGATTTTATTAAATTGATCTTGATAAAATTATCCTACCTTCCTCCCTAGGGAGTTCTGGTGGCCTACTAGTAAGAAGTAGCACTACCAATGAGAAGGCTCTCAGTTTGAATCCACCAGCTGCTCCACTGGAGAAAGATGGGCAGTCTCTCCTTGTATGATTTACTGCTCTGAAAACCCACTGGAGGGTCAACTCCAACTCCATGGTACATAACACTACCACCTTGCTCTGTACTGTCCTCTCTCCTTTCCTTCTGTTCCTTCTGATCCCTCCTTACTTCTTTCTCTCGCTCTCGCTCTCTCGCTCTCGATGTGTCTCTTTCTGTCTGGATGTCTCTTTCTTTGTGTGGGTTAAGTGCATTTTAAAATTTAATAGGGAGCCAGTTACCTGTAGTCTTTTCAGTCCCAAATAACTTTCTGGCCCCTGGGAATGTACAAGTTCCTTTCCTGTTCCCACTTATCTGGTAGAATCTTGCTGTTGCCCTTTGTCGTCTCCTGACTGGCCTATTTCTTTGTCACCCTGCCTCCGTCCAGGGAAATAGTCAGAGACATTTGAATTCTGAACTTCAGAGGAAGAAGATTGAATGGGAGACTTTTGGGGAGGATAAAATAAAATTTTTAGAAATATTCTTGAAATGAAATTTCCAGCGAAAATGTTGAGTAGGGCAGATGAAAAGTGTGTTTTGTGTTGAAGGGATGAGGCTCCCTTTTTCCTATG